TGATTCAAATAATTGTGTAATTATTTGTTTCATTTTTATTTAAATAATTTCACACTTTTAAAACGTTTTAATGCCGTACATTATGTATGACAGATATGATAATTTATTATGTCTATATATTATTAATATTTATAAACGATAAATCAGTTAATATAACAATAATTGTAATATATGTATTTATCTGTCTAATAATACAAATACAATAGTTACTCATCTACCAAGCTCTGAAAAGCTAAGGAAATTAAATGCTTCTCTGCAAGCTGTGCAGTTCGCCTGTACATTTATATCTGAGTTTATGCTTTCAACTGTTTTCTTTATACTTAAATGTACATTACATAATTTATTTTCTGTTGTCTATTGCTATAAAAACAAACTCAGTGATGTATTTTTGATTTGGGCAGATAAGCTCCTCCTCCCACAAGGTCTTGAATAAAGAAGCCTGCAAAACGGTGTGCATTTGTTCACGAATCACTTCGAATGTTTTGTTCAGTTCCCTGCACGCACTGAATCCTGCAGTTGCTTTGTTTTACAGTTGTTGATTTTATTTGCTGTCTTGTGTCAGTAGTAGCGCAACAAAAAGGGCAAATTAAACAGTTATGGTTACAATTAATGAAAATAAATGAAATTGAATTGTTACCATTGTTGTGATTCCCTGCTGAATGGTTTAGTCTGTCTTTGACTTTAGCATGTTACCACTCACTATTTAAGGATTATATAAACCCAATTAAAAGTATCTCAATGTAGTTATGAAAAATCAAATTCAAATAAGTTCATTAATAATCACACACAAAAACTACTCTAATGATTTAATCAGAAGATAGATCTCCTTCTGAAAGTTCCAAGTGCCCAACCAAAGGGAACACTAATCACTGTAATGGTGAGTTTTAAAAAAACACATTTTAGGAAAATCAACATCAATTTATGAAGTTAGCTTGTGATGTTCTCTCAAATATTTCAGTTGTATTGAAAATTCAACATTCAAGATGATTTTGGGAAACGAGTGAATGCAACTAGTGAAAGATAACTGCAGACATGGAGGAAATGGGTGAAAAGTCTATTAAGACTCTCTTTCTTTTCTTCTTCTGTTGTTATGGTGCTCATTAGCGACATATTAGTGCACTGCTGCCTCTCATTGGTGTATTAATGTCATTGGTTCTTTTGTGGCTACTTGAATATTTTAAGTAAGTGTCACTCAAAACAGTAAGTAAATAGTTTTATTTGCCTTGAAAGTAGCTGTAACTTAATAAAACCTAGTAAGTATAACAACTAAGTAAAGATAACTAGTTAAATCTAAGTAAGGTAAACTATTGGATTTTACAGTGAAAAGTCCTACACGGTGGTAATAATGTGATTAAGGTGTTTACATGTCTATACTGCACTTCAGTAATGTGACTAAAATAGGAATACTCCACATGTCTTAATTCGATTTCTGTTTACTTCGATTATGACTTTTGCTGGATTAAGGTAATCAAAAATCTCTGTTTACATGGTAGATTCTTAATCAGAGTATTGTCTTAATCATATGAAAAGTGGAGTATTGTTGTCCATGTAAACGTACTGAATGAGACTCTTCTCTACCCCAGGTGATTTGTACCAACACTGAGCTCCTTGGCTGCAGATCACAGCCAGGTCCTCATTATAGACTATACTAATAGCAAATACATGTACTGGACTGAGTGCATATTATGTTTAATGAATTTATCGTATAAGCTTGATTTCCTTTGTTGTATTGTCTGTAGTGATGTATAACCATCCTGTTCTTCCTGGAACTGTGGTCATGACCCCTCATTCTGAAACAATAAAGAAAGACTAAAATGTTTAATGTCTTTAGTCTTTATTGTGTTATGAGAGCTGTAAAGATTACAAAGCACTACCAAAATGACAAGCGAAGCTGTATGCATTTAATGTGTGCAAGCCTTTTAATGAGCATTGAAAATTATGAAAGAAATCATCCGATTTGTGTCACTCAGTGATGGTGGCTGTGGACGAGCCATGAGGACTGATCTCCTTCAGCTTCTCCATGATAGACATGTACTGCTTATTCCTTTCCTCCTCAGACAGCAAAGACGGATTGATCTCCAAGAATTTATATGCAGCCTTGGACTGAACGCTGAAGACACCCTGCGCTCTCTGAGAGCATGCACCAAATCTCTGCCAGTACTGAAAGATTAATGACATGCCACCATTAATCACAACACATTTACTAAAAATACAGTGACATAAACTCATGTTGGCTGAAATCACTTCCTATACACTATACTTGCTATCATAGCTGTAACCAGGGTTTGAAAATTAGTGAGGTCTGGGGAGGTGTTAAGAACATGAAACATTTTCTGAGGTCCGGACCTCGGTGACCTGTCTGGCTACGGGAATCGCTTGCTATATAACATTCACTTGCATAGTGAAAGTCTGTTTTTAAAAAAAAGTCATGATCCACAAGTTATGGCAACATGATTTTTCCATCACTTTAACTCAATTTAACCAATTTCATCTTAAATTATGAGCTCTATGGATAATAATAACCACTGCAATGAAACATAAAAAAAATTAAAAATCCTACATTTGTTTCATGGTGACTTTAAAGGTCCAGTTAATCCAAAAATGTAAATTCTGTCATTAATTGCTCCAAACATCTAAGACTTTTGTTCATATTGGGAACACAAATAAAGATATTTTTTAATAAAATCTAAGAGATTTCTGAGTCTCCTTTGTCAGTCTATGCAAATAGAACTTTCTAGAACAGATGTAAAAACAGCATTAAAGCAATCCATGCGGCTCATAGTTTACCCACAACAATTATGTTATTATTTACAAAATATATATCTCTCACAAGAGCATCTGCTGAGATATATACGGTGGCCGAGAGAGCTCAATGTGCTGCAACTTCAGAAAGCACATGCAAATAGAAAAAGCACCAGGAAATTAAGAAAACATCTTAATCAGTTTGACAGCACATGTGCTGCAAAAACTCACAACACAAACAAATACAGAAATGCGCAAGTAGCACAGACCACAACAGAATTACCTCAACAAAATGAAAATTAACCTTTTTTGACATATTGATTACCATTTGTATAACCACAGTTGTACAAATACCATGTTTAAATGGTTAGTGTATTAAATCCATGGTTCATTTGTGAATGGTTACAATGGCAACTATAGCAACCATTTTTGTTTTTATTTATTTCTTATCTAATAAACGTATTTATTAATTACATTTTGTGCTTTCAAAATCTTTATTTGTCACACAATTTCTGAAAGCTGACACTCAAACAGCAGAAGCACAATCTGCAAAACCATACGCTTATTCTTGGCCTTTGACTCTCTTTTCAATTTCATAAAACACTTTTTGCAAAACACAACACACAATTCTCTATGTAACACACAAAAATCGAACAGGAATTAATATTATGGCAAAGGTGTTTGCAAATCTTTGCCTTTGAGATGTGTTTGTGATATTTTGAATGCAGTGCTTCATTTAGCAAGAGATGTGAGGCATTTTGCATTTTGTGTGTGCAATTCTTGGATTTGTGTGTAAAGTTTTGAAAAAAGAGGCAAAGTTTTGAAAATGTGTGCAAGCAGTTAAATTAAAACTGTAATTAATTTTAATGCCATATGCTATGGTTAATTTTTGTAAGGGAAGATGTAAAAGTAAGTTACCCAATGTACATAACCTTTCACAGTTACAGCAATTGTGTATTTTCAGATTATTTAGACTAATAATATCCCCCCCCCCCAAAAAAAAAAAGGCTAAGGAATTGTATAATCAGGATGTTAAAATAAATAAAAATATAACCTTTCAGAGCAAACACTGGTAAATATGTCTCAGCCATGTTTGTCACTTTGCTGTTCCCTTAATCATTTATGTTGTGGTCTGCCTATTTGCAGCATGTTTCTGTTTTTGTTTTTGTTGTATTGGCAGCGCATTTCTTTATTTGCATGTGTTTTCTGAAGTTGCAGCGCGTTGAGCTCTCTCGGCCACCGTAGATATACATTTTGTAAATAAACAAACAAATAAATAAATAAATAAAATTACTATTTAATATCACCTCTAAAGTTTGACTGGAATATGCATGCTGCATATTAACTGTTCAAGGAATTCAAAGTTTATATATAGGCATATATTTTTTTTTGTGTATTTTCAGTTACTCAAGCCTATAGGGGCCCCCAGCCCCTTAAGTCCTGCCCTGGTTGTAGAAAAAAATCCTGTACATGTTTCTTGCAAAAAGTATGTTTTTTTTTCCAAAGGTCCTTTAGGGACTTCAAAAAAAACACCCCAGCTTAGAACAATGTGTGAAGAAACCTAAAACACTTCTAACCGGCATACTGTAATTCTCCTCTGACACATCAGTTTGATACTGTAAATGTGGTCTAATGTTGCATGATCACCAAACAACAAGCTACACTCTGATTTAGATTATCATTTTCTTCTTTAACTTGCTGCTAGTTTGAGTGCATTTGTTAGAACATGTTTGTATGCGATGAAGACAGATTTGCAATTTTGCATAATGAAAATATGTGCCTTGAATTCATGGTTAATATTATCATAGTTAATATTTCTTTTATAAAAATTTTTTTTAAGAATCAACACATGCTATGCACTTGTACATCTTTTTTTCTTTTCTTCCATCAACAGACTTTTGAGGTGCACGGTGTCCTCATCCAACTCTGAAGCAGTTAAAACGATAATAACTTTCAATGATTAGACATATGCGTCTCTGTTGAGTCTACAATGCTCTCCATTTTGCATCATGGAAAATATAGCATCATTTGTTTTATTGTTCGTTATCAATCAGAATGCATTTTGGGTAGACAAAAATGACAAAGGGAATGAAATTAAGTTACCTTTCCTGCATTTTCAATGGAGGCCAGAAACAAATCCTTCATGTCTTCCAGGTCTATGATGTGCTCCCCAACAAAGGTCTTGCCTTTCAGCGTGTCCAGCGTAACACCCACCTTCTCCCAGAACTTTTTAAGATCAACCAGAACTTGCTGGATTTGAAAAAGACACTGATGGACTTCTGTCAGGTGGACAGGACTGGGGATCTCACCTGGACAAACAACATGCAACATGTTGCGTTATGATAGATCACTGTGAGCCTTCAGATTGTTTCACATGAAGAAGTGGCGAAGATCATGTAACAACCATCACATGCATACAGAGATGCATTTACTGTATGTTTGTAACAATAATTTAAAATCACAGAGAGGCTCTCACCCATTTTTATTTTGGAAGTGGCCAACTTCAGCTGAAGATCAGTCTGCTTAATTTTGATGTCCCACTCTTTTTTTCGCAGACTGTACTTTTCAGAGTCTAGACGGGACAGTTTGTCTTTTTTAGCGGCAACACCAGGTATCTTCGAAACATCTTTATAGCCACCAAAAAGTAGCCCAAAGACCCTGAAAAACCAGGAATGTTGTTTTTTTTCTTCATATTTTCTGATGAGTTCCTGCAGCTCATTGGTTGTTTCTTCAATTTTCTTCTCAGTTTCCGTCATATCGTCAACATTTTTCCTCAGCTCCACTTCAAGGTTTGCCAAAGCATCCTCCATACCCTTCATCTCATCAGAATGCTTTGTTAGTTTGACTTGGCTCTCTTTCTGTTCTTCAAACACATTACTGGTGCATGTTGCCACATTTTTATTTTGTTGATCATACCTGAATAAAATTATATTTCAGATAAATGAGTGAATAGTGATGTGGTCCAGATTTCTCAAACAACACAATACAGACACTGAAACATTTTCCTAAAGAGGACCTATTATGCCCTTTTACAAAGCTTTGATTTTGTTTTTGGATAATTGAATGTTCAAAAACACATTGGGTAGCATTTACTAATAATTCCGTGGACTATTTCATATGTATACGCACAGGATAACTTCTCACAAAACACATCCACCAAATTCAAAACACGTGAATTTGTTCTTAACCTCTTTCTGATGTTAGGGATTCTGATGTATTCTAAATAAGTGGCCCCTGCTGAAAAAAAAAAACAAAAAAAAAAAACAATAGAAACCATCATAGAATTTGTAATGGTTTTACAGGTTATAACGGGACTTGTGTTGATTTTTCAGCAGGGACCATGTGCACAAGGTAGTCATTTGCATAAAACACAGTCAAAACACTTCCATATAAGGGGTTTCCATTTAAAAGGCTGTATTTCCTAGCCTTTTGTCACTCTCTCGGGGCGGTCTCATTTAAGAAACGTAACTGTTAAATTGCAAAGTAAAAAAGAAATTACAGTATGTTACACTACACAAGGAATGACAGTAAATTTTATTGCGGTTATACTTTTCTTTAAAAAAGACATACTTGAAGGTGCATGCAGCCTACAAAAGCGACTTGCAGAGGACGCAGCCTCCGAAACAAGTTGCAACTATTAGGCTCATTTGAGATGAACTAAATCTGTGTAGAACCGATCACTGGTGATCACCGCAAGATGCATGCCAGTTAGAAATGTGTCTGAGGGCGGCTCTCTATAGCTCTCACGTACTTTGATGTCACACACCGAGCGGTTTGCGCAGTTGAACACACCTAGTAGGCTGTTCTGTTGCTTTTATATGAAAATAAATATGATGAACAAGACACTCAAAGTTCCTGCTATTTAATTCCATATGAAAGACATATTTATCCATTTTTACTTTAATACAAACAAGTATTTCAGATATGTGACACCAATCACATATCTCACACAGATCGCACTGTCATAGATTTTGTGAATATCCATGCTTAATTTAAAACATAATCACATGATATCAGATAAAAAATAAAACATTTTAGAAGAGAACGCAACATCACGATTGTTTGAACCAATGAGCATTAAGCTGTGCCAGGGAAGGTGTTTCTGTGTGGCAGAGAATGGCCGTCAGGTGTGCCGTAGAAAATGATCCAAACTACATATCTCTATTATATTTAGTTATTATTATTTTAAATCAGAGCTATTGGTCTTCATTGTGTCTGTTTGAGGGTTTTACAAATATTTAACCAATGAAAAGCTTTCAAAAGAGCTTGTCACTAAAACACGTAATGCAATTGGATCCTCTAACTGTCAGCGAAACCTCGCAACTTCACCCCGCCTCCCAACCTGTCAACCTGGAGACAAATCTCCGCTTGTTCGCAATGCAAGGGCAAATAAATAACTGATGTTTGAATAAGTACAGTGACTATGTCACTGTAACACTAACTCAAATACTTTGTCTGAAAAGGCTGATTTCTTTTTGTGTGTGTGTGTTAGCATTTGCTGTAGCCAATATAGTTTTGTACATTTTAAATACCATGTCCATATAGTGCTTCATCGTTTAGGCTATATCATGAGATTTTGGCCAAGTGTATTAAACAATAAGAAAAACTAAGCACCCATATAGCTACAATAAACGTTATAACATGTAAGTTGATGAAAGCGTATAATGCGATGCACTTGCTACATCAGATAATGACAGACAAAACACAGATCTACGTCATTCACTGGTCAAAAACAGTTAACTGCATATTAGCTTGATTTTCATAAAATATAATGATAAAGCCACAATACCAACTCTGACGACACAGTGCTTAACCCTCAAAAGGCCCTAATTTCCTGTTTACACTTTCAATTTTGGGGTCATATTGACCCCAAAGTTCCTTAGAGTAATTGTAAAAAAATATATACATTTTTAATCATACAAATAATATATATATTTTTTTGTTTACTTCTCATCTATACATTAATGCTGTGTTTTGGGAGATATAAAGTACTTTTGTACCTGTTTTACACAAAATGCCTCAACTACACCAGCTTGCATGTGAAATATTATTTTTTTATGGAAAAATCACTTAAATTATGATCTAAATTTAATTTAAGTTGTCTCTGGATACTGATCTAGGTGTTAGGTGTAGAATTCTGCCATCTGCTGGTTAGAGAAAAACTTGTAGAAATCACTGTTTTTGAAAGAATAGTGTAATGACCATATATATATATATCCAGCAGAGGCCCATATAGATCCATTCATTTTTCTGGAAGTGGCCAACTGCTACTCTCACAACTTTTCTGATATATATTTTGTAAATATATATTGAAACATTATAAAATACATAAAAAAACATTATTTTTCTCAAAGGTTAGAATTAGTTTTTGTTGTTTGAGGTATTTTGAAGTGCCCGCTTTTGCAATAATGCCACATAAATGTGCAGAAATGCCACACAAGTTGTCACTAAAACTTGATTGTAGGCACATATTTATTTCAATCTAAAAAGTAAAATAAAAACAATTTTATTTTACTTAAATGTAAATTTAATAAAAAAAAAAACAACAACAACTGCAATAAGCAGATATGAATAGTGGGTCTGTGTGTGTGAGAGAGAGTGTGTGTGTGCGCGTGTGTGTATGTATGTGAGTGAGTATGCTCGTTCCACATTGCATTTGTGCTCTAGTATCAGGCCTTCGTTTTTGTGTGGACATTTTAAGATTTACGCAGGATTTATTGATTTTATTTGCCAATTTCTATAAAAATGCTCTTTGTTGCAGTCATTCCTGTGTGTGTGTGTGTGCATGTGAGTGAGCATGTCTTTCCTACATTGCATTTGTGCTCTAGTACCAGGCCTTCATTTCTATGTGAAAATGTTCAGATTTAAGGTGGATTTATTTTATTTTTTTAACAAATGAAAAACAAATATAGATTTTTCGCATTTCCCATTCATTTTCAATTGGGGTCATATGGACCCCAAAGACCTTATTAGGGTTAATTATTGAAAAGAAAAAATTAATTTCTAAATTTTTTCCCAATATTTCAGTTCTTAGTGGTGTGCCATGGGATTTTTTCCTTATCAAAACTGCACCCACCCCCACGCCACTGCCATACCCTATGGTCAGCGCAGCTGGAGGAGAGCAACCGCTCACAACTGCATGGCCGATCCCCCCCACTTTTAATAAAACATTAATTCGACCCTCGCACTTTTTCGGGCAAGTGTGTTTACGTAGAGGTTTTCAAGGGCCAGTGTGAACAAACCCATATTTGAATGCAAAGAAACAAGATAGTCTATGCATGGCCTGACTTTTTATTTGTATCTAAAACAAGGCGATGTGAACATTACGGAGCGCTAAACACTCAAAACGGAAGGATGCTCTTGCTTAAAGTCCAAAACGGACTCGTAGAAGTAATAACTTATGACGTGCCAGGAAATCCCCAATATAGACAAAGGCATCCAGCGATCGCTGTAGCTAAAGCTGAATAAAAAGCAGAAATAGTTTTGACTGATGAAACGTGACGACAACAAACACACAATTGACAATATATGCTTTATGTGTGCTTTTCAACTCATCTCCAGATAATAACTAAATGAAGTATATGAATAATGCAATGCTAACTGAAATATAATTTATAACATATATTTTCTGCCTTTTTCTGTGATAAAAAAAGTGTTCATAGTATATAAACCAATCATAAGTTTATCATTAGGAAAAGTATCATTAGGTTTAAAGGATCATTAGGAAAATATAGGTAAAATTATTCTAGAATACAAATGATCGGTCATTGTCCAGCAATGTATTTGATTTCTTAGCCAAGTAAAAGTAAAAGATCAGAAAAAATAATAAAACGAATTATTTACTAATTAATAATAATAATAAAAAAAAATCTGTTCCCCTCACTTCTGAAATGATGGCTACAACCCTTCATCAGTGTGATATCAGAGCAAGGCATACTGCCTTCGGACACATTCCTAACTGGCATGCATCTTGCAGTGATCACCGGTGATCGGTTCTGCACAGATTTTGCTCATTTCAAATGAGCCAATTAGCTTCATGCAGCGCTGCGCAGACCAATCAACAGCTGATTTGAAGAAGTGCACGCTGGTACTGCAGTCGGCTGACTCTTTAGGGCAACTGTAGGAGCTCTGATGACGACACTGCTGTTTCACGATTCACCAAATTCACCACGTGACAACGATGGTGAATTTATTCTAACAACTCCATTAAACATAGTCAACATGAAAAGAGGTATGTTTATAAAAATGCACTGATAATATATATATATATATATATATATATATATATATATACCCATTTTATTGGTATTTAAATAGTATATGTTTACGATATGTTTATGTTGAATTTTATTCTTGAACAGCAGTGCATAAAAAGTGTTTCTGGTGCTTCATGAAAACGTCTCTGTAACGTCTATTGCATTTAATTCACTTCATCTTGTGAGAAAGCATGCAAACACTGTGTGAGTTTCACTACGGGAAGCAGAATGTGTCCGACTTCACGTCTCCACTTTCCATTCTGCCTCCAAACGCAAATGGCAACTCGCCGATCGGTTTGCTCAGCGCTGCAGTAAGTCAAACACATCTGCTCTTTATTTTGGCCAAGAGGTCACATCATGACTTGTACTGGTTGCATGTCTCCATGCGACGCAAATTTGCAGGCCAAAGTTCACCAAACTTAAACTTTGAAATGCAGCAAAATTTAAAAACTTTTCGCACAAGCTTGCATTTCCAGACTGACACATTTGCATTCGTATGAATAGTAGTCAATGAAATGAAAAGTGCAGTGTTCAGATGCAAGTTCAGAGAAACTGTGATGGGGCTGACGAGACGTGAGACGCGTGGATCCATCTGCAAGCTTTTATTCAAGAGACGTGGTATAACAGGCAGGGTCGAACAATGGCAAACAGGTATATGGC